GGACGCATGCACCTGCATGCAGACACCGTGGGACAGGAAGTGCCAGCAATGACAGAGGAGTCAGCGCTGGATCGGAGACCCGCCGCACCGCTGGAGGGACAGATGAAAACATCAGGAAAGAAGATCGGATTAAGAGACATCAGTTAAGGTAAGTGCTGACATTAACATTGGGTGGTGGGATAAAAAAAAATTACTTTAATGTCACTCTAACCACTTCCAGGCCGCAGTACGTCTATAGACGGCGGCCCGCAGAAGTGGTTAAAACAAGAACACGGCTGCTTCGGCAGCCGTGCTCTTGGTACCGCTTTTAACAGCAGGCGATTGCTGTATGACTTACAAGCAATCGCCTGCTGAGGACTACAAATATCAGCAGTACTTTATACAGAAATGCTATTGTTATATAAAGTATTGCTGGGATGTTTAGTCCTCTATAGCCTGTGCCATTCTGCATTGCTGTAAATATTAGGGCTGCACGATATATTGGCCGCCAAAACATATTGGCCGAAAATGGCACTTTTGGCATAATGCCGAAACTGCCACTTTTCTGCTGATACAGCGGTGCATCCGTGCTTTCTCTTCTCCCCGCTGGGCGCTGCTCTGTGTCCCAGCGGGAGGAGAGAAAGTGACAGCCGGCCGAGCGCTGCGGAAGGAGAGCGCTGTGTTTGTCTTGCACCAGGGCCCTTTGTTCCTTAGGTCCGCCACTGCACAGGGGCCATGGTGAACAAAATTAGCCACCCTCCTGAAGGGAGGACAGTGTCAGCACCAATTCAGAGATGATTTGAGGATCTACAGCTGAGTGATACACAAATAAGATTCTTTTTTGTTAATAGTTAAGGTACTCAAATGCATTCTTAAGATTTAGCTCCTGAGTTTAGTGTCACTTTAACTTAGTGAATGTGGTGCAAATTCACTTTGCAAAGAATACCCAATCACCACTGTCAACTAATAAGCAGTGAGAAAGCAACAGCTTTGGCAAAACGTTATGACTCTCTTTCACATGATTTAATAAAGGCAAATAGGTTGTTCTCTTTCCAAGGGAATTTTCTCTTAGCTTAGTGAATGTGGTGAAAATTCACTTTCATGCTTGCACAGGACTGGATGATGGAAATTAGCAGAGGTTCACCCCATTTACTAAGCAAAGTGCAAATTCCCTTTCAAGGTGAACAGCCTATTTGCCTTCAGTAAATCAACTCCATTGACTTGATAGTAGTAATACACAAGGGTTGATTTGCTAAAAGCAAACAGGCTGTACATTTTGCAAGGGGATTTTCTCTTAGCTTAGTGAATGAGGTGAAAGTTCATTATGCAAAGAATACCCACATGCAAGAAAAATACACCTGATTCACTTAATTTACTAAGCTAAGGGATAATTCCTTTGCAAAGTGCAAATTCCCTTGCAAAGTGAACAGCCTGTTTGCCTTTTTGTAAACCCACCCCACAGAATGTGGTAAAGTCCCTCATCCCTCATTTGTTTATGATGTTTTATATGAATCAGGAAACAAAAAGAACAGCAAACAGCCCAGCTCTTTCAGGCACATTACTGTGGCAATCACAATGAACATAGTATACATTCAGTGATGTATATGTATACTATGTAAAAGCGCTGCGTAAATTGTCGGCGCTATATAAATACATGTAAAAAAATAAATTAACTGAAAGGGTAAATCTATTGAACAAGTTATTACATTAAAGATATTATAAGTGAGATAGAGAAATAGAGAGATAAAAGCAATAAGCACATTGAATAGAATGACAGCCCTCCAGACATTCCTGTATTGATTTTGCTTTCTATTGTGAGCTAGATTTGCCACAGGTAACACTTTTAAAACCGTACATACGATATACTTAAAGCTGTATAAAACCCATGTTGATGAATGTATTTATGACAAAGGGTTGAATTACCTGGTCCTTTACAAGGTCACTGACAATGTCCCTTGCATGGACATCAATTGTTATCAGCGCAGTTATGATATTTCTGTGTAAAGCAGGAAGATGGCCTCGGACAAGCCCGGCTAAAGCATTTAATCTCTAAAGTGAAAAAAAGGAAAACAATTATATTTTTGTCAGTGAAACATAATTGAACACTGACTTACCTCAAAATTAACCTTTTCAAACTCAGCCACTGATTTCAAGTTTTCCTCGCCATCCCCTTCGAGGCAGTGGGTGAGATCTTGGCACCACATGAGCTGAGAAATTGTCAGCACCACCTATAAAGCAAATAACAATGTGCCATAACAATGCTCCACATGAACCGTTGTAGTAGTGTGGATTTGCAGTGCACTGTTAATAGAGTTTTTTTTCTTTCGAATATCTGAACTTGATTTATAGCAGATAAATTACCTGAGAGGGATGTCCAGCGACTACCCACTCCACTCTGTTTTTATTCTGATAATCAGCTATAGCAGCTTTACTGAGACGTCTCAGGGAGCTGTACATAGCCTCCTCCACCTTGCCCAGCCAGTCCTCAACGTTTCCTCTGGCCTTTAGCCCTTTGCCCAAGCTCACCTAGTAAAAAAAATCAGTTACATCATTCGCTGTCAGGAGAAATATACTAATAAATGGTGATATTTAATGGTGACTATTAGTATGGTGATACTATTAAATAGTTTTATGACCATAAACCATAAAAGAGGACAAACAACCCTTTGTTTTAGGTTGATGAACAGTTTCCTCCATTTTTTTTTTAAGCTGAACTCTGAACACAAACACATTGAAATATGTTCCTCAATAGTCTTAAATTATATAAATTTATGGTGTGTGCAACATCACTGTGCTGCCCATAGCCAGTGCAGACAGCAGAGCTCCGGGAGGAACCCAGCAGGGCCACCCACTACAGACTGCCTGTGTTCTGTCAAAGTTTGTGACTACGTTAGAATGTGTGACCAGTCATGTGGTTGATACCAGAATACGTGTCCCCATTGGAAGGTTGTTCCCTCTATTTCGACTAATGATAAAAAAAAAAGTTTGATATGTCCCTAACTTTCACTGCTGGTAACACTGGTCATGAATGACAGTTATCAGTTCTAAGAACTGGTTGTTACCTGAGGATTTACAATACCTTCATCACTGATTTGATTAAGTCATTTCCTGAAAGTTTTACACACCATTATATGTAGATCTTTCATGAAGCAATTCCCATGTTTTCAGTTCAAAGGTAGAAAAAAAAGACTTACTCTCTCTCCTTCGGGTGACAACATGGCTAATATATCATTGGTGAAAACTTTCTCCTGGTCCCCATCTGAAGGTGCAGTGGCAAACTCTAGTCTGGCAATGGCATCAAAGCACTTTCTCAGGTGAGGCTGAACAGCCTGAGGATTACGTGTCTGGGCTAGTATTTCTAACAATTCATCATTAGACAGGAAGTAAAATCTGTATAAAGAATACAAAATGGATACCAAGATTAACACCTGAATTCACAAAATTTGTGAAAGCATCTAAACCAGAGGTCCCTAATATCTTCAGCTCATAGACCTCTTTATGAAGCTTCAGATTGTTCACCAACCCCCAACCATTTATTTTATACATTTGGATAATAATAGTATTAAATAGTACTTACATAATAGTAGTACTCAACAGAGACCTCAAAAGATTGATTCTTCCTTCCTTCCTTGCTTCCTTCCTTCCTTCCAATCTTCTTTCATTTATTGACCACCAATTGACATTTACTGACCCCCTTTTTATCCCTAGCCATTTAATGACCCTTGGATAGCCACAATAGATGGTTTTTCCCACAGGAATGTTTCTCTTTACTTCCTGTTCTATAGACTTAACAGGATGTGAGAGGATATTCTTCCAATGCAATCCCCTTTTAGACATAGACAGCTGGCACAGAAACAAGCGTCTCCCCTGGAAAATTTCCCCTCTATTCCTGTTCTGGTGGCAACTCAAAATTCTGGTGACATTGGTAGTCAGGGCAATTAGAAAGTGTGAATCTCCTTAACAGGGACACACACAGTAAAAAAAAAAACAACCTGACAGTAATTCTATCCCCTTACCACTCTATTCAAATATAAATCTGCCTCTACTTTGAAGGCTGATTAAATCATTCTTAAAGCCTAACCCCAGTCAAAAACCTGTTTCTTGTTTTGGTTAGAGTAGGTTCTGCACCCCTCTCCTGCACATACTGCCCACTGTCTTTTGGCAATTCTGTCCCGCACATGCTAGCCACTAAGACAACATTGCTTGTTATTTCCCCAACTTGCCCATTCTAGAAGGGGCACACTTTTTCTATTGCACTTTAAAAGGAACCTGTGTTTGTCCATACAGGGCAAAGCAACAGGTTCGTTCACATCCCCCCATCTCTAGCAGCACACACAGTACTTACCTTTCCTTCTCTCCCCCACTCCTCCATTCAGCTGCTGGCAACAGGAGAAGCCACCATGCTTTAGCTACAATTCACTCAAGTCTTGGTTGTACAGGGCTATGGATTCACCTCAGGTGACAGCACCGGTGCCTGTTGACTGGCCCTGCTCTCTCAAATGGAGTAAGTCACATACTACTTTATAACCAGAAGTGCCAAGAATTTTATTTGCTCCTGGCAGTTAAACAAAGTGGCAGGGGAATGAAGGAAAGGTGAATATGTGCTGCTGTTAAAGGAGAACTATGGGGTAAGTGTTTTTCACCATAGTTCTCCTAATGGTCACGGGAGGACATATACTAGTGTCCTCCCATGACCCAAAGCTCAGTATATCGCGAGCTATAGCTCGCGGTATACTGAGATCTCCGCAGCTGGGACAGATCCTGACATTCCTGTCAAGATCCACCCAGCTGCGTGAGTGTACCCGCCCCCACCCCCATCCGTTCTGCCAGTCAGCGCTGGAGGATCGGAGCGGGGAGGGGTGAAATCAGTGCTGCGGTGAGCCGTGACTGACAGTCACGTCTCTCTGCATGGAGATGATCGAGAAGTGAGCGAGCGACGGTATGTGTTCGCTAACTTCCTGATCTATTGAGCCGCCGTGTGACAGTTTCTTTGTCACACGTCGGCTCAAACTATGAGGTTGAGTGAAAATCACTCACCTCATAGTTCTCCTTTAAATTAAACCCATTGCTTTACCCTGCATGGACAAACCACAGGTTTGCTTTACATTCATAAGAGAATGCTAATAAAATGGCTGTTCAGGGTGCTTATACTTATTCTAAGTATTTTCATTACGTTCATCTTGTTCTTTTCACACTGCTGCAATTTAAAGCAGTAAAACAAATAATGTAAAGTAAAATGGAGGGCAAGCTATTTAACTAATGAAGAAGTTTATTTGTTACTGACCTTGGAAACACAACGCGTTTGGATTCCAAATAAGCCTCCAGGCACTTCTGAATTTGATCAAGGAGTGAATTGTTATTTTGAAATGTCTCCAGAAGACCTAAGCAGGAAGGAACATTATATTAATTAAAGCATTTCCAGTAGCCGCAATCATTATGCATTATAAAAAAACATACAAGGATTACTTTAACCACAAGCTGTGTGGTTAAAATGTATGTATTGTGCAATATTATATCTAATAAATAAGAAACTGTCTAAATGATGTTCTAGTACACATATAACACATTGTTACATTTAGGAGTTATTGATGCTCAGATATTATTCTGCTGTAATTAAGTAAATTTAAAGTCAACGTAGATCCTGATGTCATTTTTAACGTTAAGTGCATGCATGTTAAGTTGTGTACAAGTATAACACGTCCGGTATTTATACACTCTCACAGAGTTCACATAACTCCCCCTGACAATGCTTTATCTGCTTTACTCTCCAGAAGGACCTAGCCATCTTTGTTCAGACAGGGTCCTGGACTAAGATCAAGATGGCCAATCATGTAATTTCTGGGGCCCTTGCAGTTCTCGGTTGTATTCACATACTCTGCAACAGTTCAGCCCCCTCCTGCAGCCTCTATCCTGGTGATTTGTTACAAAGTTACAATGTTGCAGTCTGATCACTGGGGGAGAAGAGACTGAGGAAATGTGTCCTCCCGGAGCCGGGAGGACACAAGGACAGCTTTTTAATTAGATAAGGTAATTTTTGTATTCTATTTTTTTTATTTATGTTTTATTTATTCTGTTGGTGTGTATTGTGACATGTGAGGAATGTATTTATAAAGTTACAAAGTCCACTTTGCCTCCCCATCAACTATATATTTTCCAAAACAGACCTCAGATCTGGTCATCCTCTTCCAAACACCGCAGCCTACGCCAGGCTAGACAGAGTCTCAGTTCCAGCTGGTATCAGGTCTTCTTGCATTAATATCAGCCTACTTTTCCAATTTGGAATGCAATGAATAATGCATACCTGGTTGAGTAGCTGCTCTAAGAGCATTAGGTAATCGGTTGACTTTTCTCATTATCTCTTTCCAGGATTTATCCACTTGTAAAAACATCTTGGCTTCAGCAGGAAGTTGTCTTTGGATATCAGGAGCGCTAAAAATACTTTCCAGGTACAGCCAGTTCCTTTGACAGGTCAGCCACTCATCCTAAAAATTATAGAGGAAAGTTCATAAAAATAACCTATAAATCAACATGTGCCAAGTGAAATGTTAATGAGCAAAGTACATAACCAATATTAATCAACTAAATTTTAGTTTACAAAAATCAAATGAGTAAAAGATAACAGAAACATATTCAGTACATCTCTGCAAGACATGCACAATCCACAATGTGTTGTCTCTGTAAAAACACTGCAAGTACAGAAAAATACCTTTTGATCTGCCAGAAGTCTAGTATGCTGCTAAATTCTTGTATAAGAATTCTTGTAACAAACATTATTGAGCAGATTTTACAATGGCAGACTATTTAACTCATTTAAGTCAGTGGCATTTCCCCAATCTCTGTCTTTCCCAATGAGACATCTAGACCAGTATAGGCACCCAAATTCTGTTCTTTTACAAGTATATTATCAAAATAGAACTATGGCTTCCCATTACTAAAATAAACAAATACCCACAAAAACCCATTGATCCTGTTAGTGAAGTTCAACTAATGCAGTTTCCTGTGATGGGGTGGCAACAATGCAGCACTGCTCCTGAATTAACAGCAGAGTGGATGCTTCCATGTAGCCTGTGCCAGATTACATTTAATCAGAATAAACAAATGTTTGAAGGGGCATGACTATCAGCATTGTCACTGCTAAGTCACAAGCTGTAGCTTGTCATTTAGCACCTGGTTACACCTTGTCCTGCCCACTGATTTCTGGATTGAAAGCACTGACTGTTGAACAGCAGTGTCTAGAAAGAGGTGCATGTGAGACACAAATTAATTAGGAATTGGGTCAGTTAGGGAGGATTAAAGTCATTTTTTTATTTTATGAGACTTGTGCATCACATAGTAACTGGATTTGGGATTTGTTTAGGCTGTCATACAGGAGCTTTTAGTTAACTATGAAACTTAATTACATACAGTATCATACTTTTATGCTGATTGTTTTTACTCACAAGTGTTTGATTAAACAAGGCTAAATTTCTTTGCCATTCATCAACACGTGGCTTGATAGGTCCAACATAACGAGAGGATGCAATGGTGGATATGTTTATAGTGCTATCATCCAGCAGAACCTAAAGAATATAAAAATACCTTGTTAGGTTTCCTTCTCTGCGTTCATTATTATTTATTAAAGGCATTTATATAGCACTGACAATTTACAAAGCAATTTTAAATTCAGTACATTCACATAGTCCCTGCTCCAAAGGAGCAGTGTAAGGCCCCTCTCTCACATGCATACATACACATATTATGGCCAGTTAGGACATGAGCCAATTAACTTACAATCACATGTCAATGGGCTTACATTCAAACACTGCACAACCACTTTTATAGGGACCAATTGTTACAAAACCTACCTTGATCACTACTGTTTGCTCTAAGATAAGTAGCAACATTAGATTCTGCCAGCACAAGTCATCTTTCCCCTCTCCACAAAAATAAACATGACTGAGTGAGATGCATCAATACTGGCATTGGTACCCCAAAGACTGATCATTAAACAATTTTGCTGCAGGTATCAGACAGTGAGCTGATTTTTTAAGTATACCTTTACATGTAAAAAAAATTAGGTAGTGCTGAATTTCAGTTTCATAACCTGCTTAGTGGTGTGTTATATTGTTCTACAATAGTGAGCTGTTACTTTAAAGTGACCCCACAAACTCCACAAACTAAGAATACCACTGTGTAGTATAGCCTGAGAAAGTTCCTGTCCCTGGTATTGCTATGCAAGTTTGGTCAGATTCACATTTCCAAACGCAAGTAACTTTTGTCTTGCTAAATGTTAGATTCTCATGGAGATGCTATCTATGTTCCTGGGATTGTAATTGTCTGCAGTCTTGTGTACAAAAAGAAACATATGCCCACTCTGTTTTTACAGTAACAAACATCTACATATCATTAAATAAAATTATATCCATCTGTTATTCAGCACAAGCTAATTTGTAGCCTTCGTGTAAGTGTCTTTTTATGGCAGTTAGACAGTGATGGACAGAGAATACAAAGTAGCCGTGGCATACATAGCACACTAGCCTGAACATGACTAAATATTGCTAAACCCAAAAGGGATATTGTATTCTAGGAACTGGTATTACAGTACTAACTCAATAAACTGTTGGGAGTAGAGGTTGCACTTAAGTTTCCTAATATATTATAGCAAGACTGTTAGAGACTGAGCAGCGCACTGTAACTTTCTGGCACAAAGATGCCTCAAAAACAGCACAAGCAGACTAGTTAGCTCGGTGTGACAAACAGTTCTTGGGCCAGAACAGCTTCTCAGACAGGGTTTATTGCCAGAGGGGGTTTACTGGGTATGCTGGTGGTAGTAGATGCAGGGTCAACAACTAGCCTAACCAGGTCCTACACATTGTATGGGGGGGTTAAAAGACTGCTCCTGGATTAGCCAAGAAAGTGTGTGAGTAGGATAAATTGATTGTGTGTGTTCAGGTGTGTGTGTGTGTGTGTGTGTGTGTAACAGGCAGGAACTTCAACCTACGGTACACTCAGATCTGAGCAGCAGTGGGAAGTTGCCACAAGAGTTAGTCTGCGTACAAGAAGACTGGAAGACTAATCTAAAAACAAAGAGAACCAACTGGCAGAGAGGCTGCACCTGGAACAGTTTTCTCTGGTTCTTGATAGCCGAATGAGCCATGCCATTAAAATCCATAAGGCTAAAAATTCTTCTTTGATGTGTTGTGCTGGAATTTCCCTTGGCTGAAAAGATCTTCTGTTCTGCCACTTGGTCGACAAATATTAGTGGGCTGTGACTAAGTGCTTGAAAGCTCTACGTTTGATGATGATTCTTACACAATTCACTCCTGCAGTAATACTGAATTGGTGGTCTTACATTTTGTTACATAATTGGAACCTACAGTTTCAATCTATTAAATTATATAACATATTTACATCAAGACTCAAACCAGGTTTGTCTGTATTGCCAATAGTCACCTAACAGTTTCAATGTGACAGTGGTTGTGGGCACCGTAAACAAATGATAAATGAAATGCAGACAGACTGGCCCACCCATCCTGTCTCTTTCAACCCCCAGTTGGCCTTTAAACATGATGTGTAGCCTTATGACCAATATGAAGTTGCAGGAGGCATGTGGGGTGGGCCCATGCTTGCCCTTGTCTGGAAAATCTAAGGGGGGTATTCACTAAAGGGTGAAGAGTTTGGAGAAGGCAGGAGAAGTGAACAATCTAGGACAAAATAGCTGAATTGGAAAGTGAGCTGAATGAAGTATCTTTCCAAATCAGCTATGTTGTCCTAGATTGTTCACTTCTCCTGTCTTCTCCAAACTCTTCACCCTTTTGTGAATAACTCTGTAAGATTTGTATTAGAGCTAAATGGGAATAGCATACATTTTTTCTGTTTACTGAAGATTCATAGGCATTTTTGCTGCACTGATCCACTCAATCCCTGATTTGAGCACTCAGAAGAAGTAATTGTATATTATGGAGTCTGTTTTATGCTGCATGCCCTTATTTAAAAGGCACTCGTATCACTGGTACAGTATATTCAGGATGCTCTACATTTCTACTGCAATAAGAAAGGGACTTCAGTTTTAAGCTATCGGTGCTCAAAAACAAATTATTTCACTAGCTCACAAATTGTTGTCTGATAAGGAATAACTAATTGCTCTGACTCATGTGGTACTAAGTGTATATTTCACCTTTATCTACTGATCTCTATCAACAAAAAGCTTATTTCAATGAGTGGCAGTTAGAAAGAGCAATGAAAGGAGCTTCACCTCTGCTTACCAGATAAAAGACTACACAGTATCTAAGTGTGACAGTTCATAATTACCTGAAAAAATCTTTTTAAATTGTTTAATTATTTATCTTTGACTATAGAAAATAAAAAAAATAAAAACCCCCACTATACAGTTTAATATAACTATGCTCATAAAACCAGGCCTCTTCCCTCCTCCTCAGCAGCAACATAGTAGTATAACCAATGGGAAAACAAATGGAGAAATTGCATCCCTGTGCTACTTTCATATTATCAACAATATATTAGTACATTTAGGCACAGTTAGGAGGGTGCTAATGGTACAGGTAGAACTTATAATAATAAACAGTTCAGGGGCTGCATTTTAACTAGCACATTGGGCAGCACTTACAATAGGAAGAAGAAAGCACAATTACTGATAACTGCATTAACAAATGTCGCTTCTCACCTGAATATCATCAGTTCCACCAAGGATAAACACGTCCTTAGAGTCCCGATGTGGTACAGCAGTAAGTTCAGTTGTTTTCCAGGAATCCTCCACCTGCACAGAAATAATTATTGTGCCTTTATCAATATAGAACATAATTCATCAAAAACACTAACTAGGGATGCACTGACATGAAATTTTTAGACCAAAACATTTGTCAGGCCGAAACTGAAACCAAAAATTACCTTTTCCAATACTTTTTAAATTTTTTTAAATAATGTTTTCATTATTGTATTATTATTATTATTACTTTATACTTCGGGGGCCTTGGGGAAAGAGTTAGGGTTCTAAACAGACACCTGATATTTATCTTTTAAAATAGAAAAATAGTTATAGAACACAGAGTCCTCAATATCTTTTTCTGCAGCCCCTGTTATGAATGAACATGAAGCCTCTATACTGAGTGCTCCTGTCCATTTATAAACTGAGGAGATAGTATGTGATGTAGGGGACTTCCTGTTCATTCATGACTGGGGACACAGTAAGGTTACAATGTCCTCAATTTTTTACAAACACTCAGCGATCAGTACAGATCGCTGAGTGTTTGTGCTCCGCCTGTCACAGGATGCTGAATGGGGCAGTGTGGGAGGAGAGCTCAGCCTCCTGTGACAGGCACTTAGAATGGAGAGCGAAGTACAAACACCCAGCAATCAGTACTGATGTACAGTACAGCTGTCTCCGCCCCGCACCACCCTGCTCGGCCTCTCAATAGCTTCTCTCCTCCCCACTGGGCACAGGTAGCTGGATCAGCTCTGTGTCCCAGACCGGCAGTCAGCAGGGAATTTTTGTACAATTGGTATTTTGCCCATAGTACCATTTTAGGCCAAAAAGTGTCAGAAAGTTTTCGAAATTTCGGTGCAATCCTAACACTAATAATTGTGATTCCACACTCCAGAAAACACGTCTCCACTTCTCTAGAGTCCAGTGGCGGCGTGCTTAACACCACTGCATCAGACGCTTTGCATTGTACTTGGTGGTGTAAGGCTTGGATGCAGCTGCTCGGCTACGGAAACCCATTCCATGAAGCTCTTTACACACTGTTGTTGTGCCAATCTGAAGGCAACACGAAGTTTGGTGGTCTGTAGCTATTGACTCTGCCGACAGTTGGCGACTTCTACGCACTGTGCGCTTCAGCATGCACTGACCCCGCTCTGTCATTTTACGTGGCCTACCACTTTGTGGCTGAGTTGCTGTTGTTCCCAGTTGCTTCCACTTTGTTATAATACCACTAACAGTTGACCTTGGAATATTTACTAGGAAGGAAATTTCACGGATAGACTTATTGCACAGGTGGCAACCTATCACGGTACCACACTTTATTTCACTGAGCTCCTGAGAGCGACCCATTCTTTCACAAATGTTTGTAGAAGCAGTCTGCATGCCTAGGTGCTTGATTTTATACACCTGTGGCCATGGAGGTGATTGGAACACCTGAACCCAATGATTTGGAGGGGTGCCCCAATACCTTTGGCAATATAGTGTATATCAGAAAAACTCAGGATAAACATATAGTTCTAAGTTGCAATTCAACAATTATTTTTTGTAACTTTATACTGTAGTAATACTACATTTAAAAATATTCACTGTAAAATAGGAGAACATTTTCAAAAGGGAAATATAAAAGCTTGCATGTTTACTAGATACAGGCAGTAAATGTTAGCTGGCATCATTTGGTAGTCCCAGTAGATACAAAAAATGTGATCTGTAAAGTGCATGCTGTTAGTTGATAAGCTGCTATGTTTTGTGATTACTTTTTTACTATTATTGAGGGATTCCTATGCTGCAGTTCCATTACATTCACAGAATATTTGCAGTAAATTTCAAAAGACATTTGAGAGAAATGTATAGCTGTGGGTAGGGGTAGTGATACTGTGCTACTGACAGGCAGCTTCCTATCCAGTAATTCCCCTGAATCATACTACAGTCAGCTCTCCGCAGCCTATCCACAGCCTCACATGAGTTCAATGCACTAACATGAGTCTGCAGCTCTTTTCATTAGTGAAACAGGAACTCTGCTAATTCCCATCAAACCTCCCTTATCCCATATTTAGATTGATTTAGTTGCAAGGCTCATTTCCTATATAATTTCCTATCAGCCAGCCACTAAGATAATTCCACTTTACAGTTGCGCTTAGATGGTAGACAAAGAGTGTAGCAACAATTGCAATAATCCATATCAACCAATCAGAAATAATCTAAGTGATTCTAGCCATATAAGCGGCAATTGGGCTGTTTCTGATATACATTGTAGTGATGATGAGGTCCACCGTTGTTGCAAGCACTAGATATTGGCCAGGAAATTTTTCGTTTAAAAAAAATCCCTTTGGGGGAAGGCTTTGGAATTAAAGCAGCACTTCTGCTTTGCTATCACTGTTGGGAAAGTATTTTCTCATCTATGTTTTTCTCATCTATGGCCAGCCTGACACGCCATATTTTCTTTATGGAAAATAACAAAATAGATGCTTTCCATGCACTTTTTTTGTTGAATAACCTAAGAAGTCTTTAATCATTGCAGTTCCTAACATGCTTCTGTATCTAGGGTTTTCTGAAATTCTGGTATAATGTAGCTGAAATTAACAGTAAAAATGACTTTCAATCTTTCTTGATTGCACTATTTTTCCCTTGAGGCTGCTGAGATAATTATGTCTTACTTGCAGCAGAAATTAGGCTAGAATGCCTCCAATAGACCTTGTTTCTAAAAAGATAGGTTCTGCATGTATTCATATTACCCATGGCAACCACTAACATTATGGGCCCAATTTACTAAAACTGGACATTTCGTAGGCAGTGAATGAATGTGGTCTTTGGCAACAGGCCATTAATAAAATAAACCATTATTAAAATAGTCTCCTTCCTTAATAATGCAATTTTACAAGTAGCAACTATTAACTATTCTTCTTTCATCATTATTCTTATTTTTCTACTATACAGGATTAAAAAAAACTTTACTTATATTTAATTAATTTTTATGTATTTTTACAAACTGGCATTATAGTGAATACATAGATGTATATACTACACTGTACTTATTGCCTTTTTTAACCAAATAAGAAGAAATTAATCAGAGTACCCAGAGGCGGCTCTAGAGTTTGCGAGGCCTTAGGCGAAACCTAAACATGAGGCCCCGCTCAGGCCTGTGGGGTCTCACCAGGGTTCAACCCTTACGATCCACACTCCCAGCCAGATTTAACTCCGCCCTCCCAGCCAGATTGGGATCCTTGCACGGTGGATGGGAGGGGTGAGATGGCTTACCAGTGGCTGGTGGGCGGAGCTCCAGAGGACCACTGGCCGAAAGCCTAATTAAAGAGCCGCCTCTGAGAGTACCTATTTATGCTTAAAGGGACAAATCCGCAGGTTAAACAGCTAACACCCTAAGAGGTGTTAGGGCTATAGCTGATTATGTGTAAACATTTTCCACCCTAATTTGCATTAAGGTACTACATGTATCGGTTTATACAAGTACTCTTGTTATTGAAGAGGGTATTCTAGCATCACTGTGGATCAACATATGACCAAACATGTCTTCAATCCTAGTAAATTAGGCCTTATGCTTAGCAAATGTGAAAAGTAAACTTCGGCTTAAATAAATATGACTATATGAGTAGGTAATAGGTTAATGCATATCAGTTCTATGTTACACTAGCAATTCTGTCATGATCAACAACCTACCAGTGGCACAATCACTTAAACTCAACTCACCTTCTCCCATTGAATCACTCCCTTGCTGTTCAAAACCAGTGATGTGTAGCCGCGTCACTGCTCACTTGATACCTATTAAAATACTGCAACATTTTGCCCAGCGACCAAAAAGAAAAAGGCTGATTTCCTAAGGAAGGTAAGATTCTCCACTCATAAAATGTGTGAATATTCTGAATATTCATTTCACTTATCCAATCATGTTAAACGCATCTGCACATGGTTGGATATTTAGCATGAAACCAAATTTGCTTTCCACATAACTAGATAATTTAAGTGAATATTCACACATTTTTTGTGTGAAGGGTCTCAATTCCTTTAAAAAATCAGCCTCATAGTGGCCATTGCATTGTTGTGATCCTGCTGCTAGCTAGTTTTAAATAGATCAATCGATTTAAAACTAGAAAATATAAATCCAAGAATAATGTTATGCAAAAGTATACTGTACCTTTTTAAGTATAGTCTCCAGTGATGCTTCTCCAGATGCCTGTCCGGATACATCCTGAATTGTCTGCGCACATTGAAATGCACCTATTTCAATAAGCTTCTCTAAGGACAGAGGGTTCTCAGGGTCTATCAGCATAGCATTGATCTCCTGTTCTAGGGCTGCCCAATGCCGTGGCTTCAAACATGGATTTCTTAGGTCAGTTATCACTGGTACCTGTAAAATACGAAGTCATTAATGATAAAAAACCATGATACTGCACGCATAATAAAGCCAAACAGAAATACTATAAAGTCAACAATATTTCCAACCAGGCTAAAAATATTGCATGTAAAAAAAAAAAACAATAAAGCCCTCAGATATTTTCTCACAAAACAAATCTACATTTTGGAAAAAGCAGTTTATGGTCTGATTTCCCTTCGAGCATACTGCAAGTCCACATTCTTACATAAACATCTAGGGCAGCGGTTCTCAACCTGTGGGTCGCAACCCAAAAGTGGGTCGCAACCCCTGTTGAGTAGGTCGCCGTGTGCAGCAACAGCTGCAATCTCCTGATTGCCTGCGTTTCAATCTTTACACTGTCTGCCCTCTGGGATGGCTAGAGCTCTGATGAAGGGGGCGTGCCCCGAAAACCACTTCATTCTGAGCACACACGGCCATCACCAGGACAGGAGATACAGGTGAATGGGATGGGAACGGTGGTAAACTACAAGGGACCTGGGTGCTTATTTGAAACAGCACTTGCAGCGGCTCCTTCGTTAAGTCCAGAGTCCAGAGCATTACTAAGTCCAGAGTCCAGTGTCTTACTAAGTCCTGAGTCCAGTGAGTTACTAAGTCCTGAGTCCAGAGAGTTACTAAGTCTAGAGTCCAGTGCATTACTAAGTCCTGAGTCTAATGAGTTACTAAGTCCTGAGTCCAGTGTATTACTAAGTCCAGAGTCCAGGGCGTTACTAAGTTCAGAGTCCAGTGCGTTACTAAGTCCAGAGTCCAGTGCGTCACTGAGTGCAGAGTCCAGTGCATTACTAAGTCCAGAGCCCAGCGCATTACTAAGTCCAGATTCAGGAGAGTTACTAAGTCCAGTGTATTACTAAGTCCCGAGTCCAGAGCGTTATTAAGTCCAGAGTCCAGAGCGTTACTAAGTACAGAGTCCAGTGCTCCGTTGGGAGTCACCACAACTTGGCAAATTTTACCAAGGGGCCCGGCCCTAATAAGGTTGAGAACCACTAATTTAGGGAATATCCATCTAGAATCATCTTATAAAACTAATAGCTTCTTTACTCTTATACACATGTGGTAAGATGTATTTATAACAGGCTTCACTGCATGTCTTTTATATGCACTTAAAGTGCTATTAAAGTCAAAAGGTTTTTAAGCTTTTTCAGACCATGATGAAATCACTACCAATGAAGTCTGCTACTGATTACTTGAGCACTGGCCCTGATATCCTGTTTAGGATGGCAACTTACCCTTGCAGGTTTCTATGGAGCCACCCTTGTGTTTGCTAGTAAACTGTGTGTATCTCCACAAACATCAAGGCAAGACAAGCCACTACTACCCTAGCAGCAGTTGTGTAAGGAGGGTTCAGTACATACACGAAGACCAAAGCAGGCTCAAGCACGTGTGCGTACTGTGGTTTGTGGCCTGTGTACAGGATTATAGGCATTAGCCGGCAGGTGCACATGCATTTGCGTGCATGCATGCTCAGTGCCAAATGTCCTATTTAAACAGACGTGTGTCATGGACAGATTGTTGAGTGGTCTTCGGTTTGACCCCGAGTACATGTAACCTGATTCGTTATCCTGCTTACCTGTGCATGACCCAGCCTGCCCGCTGACTTCTCTCTGGATCTCTGCCTGCCTATTGTAACCTCGGTCTGCTTACTGGACTCTGAATGTTGCCTTCTGCTCGATACCTCTCTAATCCTCTGTTACCAACCTTGGCTTGTAACACCAACTCTACTCCTGGTTTCTGATTTGGTACTCCGCTGTTTGGCTGTTAGTGACCACGACTTGGGAACCCGAATACACTACTATTATCTGCTCTGTTACTCCAGTATTCTGGTGTTTGTCCTGGTCTTGCAGCCTACAGCCATCTGGTCCATGCACCCGAGTCTCTATGCAGATCCAGTCCAGCCTGCAAAATTGGCACTCATGCCAGTTTGTGTCCTCACATTCCCTGTCACTACTTCCAGGAGTGTTGGACGAGTGGTGCAAAAGAAGCCCCCTCATCAGCTCCACCCAGGTATGTGGCAAGTTGTTACTTATTTGCCACACCACCCCTATCACAGCTCCATTCACCAACAGACACAAATAGAAATACCCATTACTTGTGTAACATAGCTTCTTGGTCATTTTCCTTACACAGAGATTTCCCCTCCATATTATCACAGAAGACATTATACTATATTATTTGCTTAGCATCACTGAGTAGATATACTGCAGTAAAAAGAGTTATCCCTTTACAGCAAGTGTCTTACCTTCTCTTTCATATTCTCTACCTTCTCTTTCAGTCGTGGGACTACATTATTTGGAGGTAATCCTTTTTCCAGCTGATTTACAAATTTAGCAAATTTAAGCACTAAGGAATTCAGTTGCTCAGGGTCCAGCATTTCAAAGTTAGACTAGAAATAAAATTAAATGAAATTCAGTTAATTATTATTCATAGTTTATTTTGATCCACAGAATATTAGTTATTTACCTTCATCCACTCAGCTTCTAGGGTATCCCATTCAGTCATTGAATCCCACAGCAGCTGTTTCAGTTTTACTTCTGCACTCACTTCTTCCAGTGCATCAAATCTGGTCACTTCAACCTATAGATGCCAATGCATATGAGTTTAATCAGGCATATCAGTCATTAAAGTACTTAGATGTCCTTACCATTTAAAACAGATCAGCGAGGCTCGACCTAAAAGCATCCACATTAATACAATGATGGCTAACAACAAAAGGGGACCAAGACAAAGAGTCTCCACATAATAATTTACCCAGGTAGCAACAATGTTGAATAATGTACAAAAGAGGCTGGTTTAGAATTAGCAGCTGAGAGAATACATAGCTAAACGGGAAAGGGGGGGGGGGGGGGGCTTTTTTTCTGC